TCTCTGGGAAAGAAAAACAGCCTTCCCCTTCTCCCAAATTGCTTCTTTGTAGGACACAGGTAACAACTTGTCAGTTCTTTGAGGGGAAATCTCCCAATCTGTTTTCCAAAGAACCAAGGGTAAAGGTCACATAAAGAAATTCAATGCATATATGCTATATGCATATATATATGTATGCTATAAAAGATCACCAGAAAAGAGGGCTAAGGGAAAATTCAATGAAGACCTGCACAGTCCTAAAATAGCTCTTTCTCATTGTGGGTGTAATTAATGGCACTGAATTGTTCATTTAAAATGGTTAGAATGACACATTTTATGTTGTATTTTACAATGAAAAATACGTTTTTCCCTCTATAGATCAGAAGGTAAAACCACTGCCTAATTATTACTAAACTTTAACTTCCAACAACCTCCTAACTGGTAATCCCACATTCAAAATAAGGATCAGAGTTCTTACTTTTCTATTTTCTTTTTATGTTCTTTTTGCCTTCGTTGTTCCTTTACTTGTTCTCGCTCAATATCCATGAAAAGTCGTTTATATCTCAGGTACTGCTTTTGCCGCTAAAGGAAAGAAGTTGTGATTATTAAGATTCTAAAGAAAGAAAATATATTGTGTCCTAGACAAGAAAACTATATGATACAGAAGTCACATGGGACTGCCTCACCTTTCCTTTTTATAAGGACTTGGGATAATATTATGCGAAGTAAGATTTATATATATGAAGGGGTTTTAAAAAGTTTGTGGAAATTTCTGATTATTGTTTAATTCCATTTGTCCAGGAATTTTTTGAAGAGTATCATCTAATTATTGTGGATAAACCAGAAAAGGGGAAAAGGCATTTTAGTTTGTCCTTAGTATATTTTTTGTCACTACTCAAGGAAACTATCACGTATGCTAATGTAAGATACATGAAGGCAAGTCAAAAAGTACTGCTCCTAGGGCTCCAGTTCAATAGCTACACAGGTTTATTCTCAACAAAATACGTTTAAACACGTATCTAGGATCAGTGGATGGGTGCAGAAAAGTTCTCTCAACAATATACTTGTACTTGTTTCATTTTTTTAAAAACAATCTAAACAGCAGTCTTCAATAGGCTCTGCTCGGTCAGTAACATTTAAAGCATAAAGGTCACACCTCAGAAGGGTACAGTGACTATTTCTGGGGAATCCTGATAGATTTTCTCAAAAGATTTGACAACCAAGGTGGCTTATTATGAAGAAGTTTTAAGAAAATTCAAAATTACTTCAGTAAGAAAAAGGCAGAGGAATTTTTTCCCCCATTTTGTAAAGGCACTAGCTCTTTCTCTGAGGGTAGCAAGGGATGTCCTAGCAGAATTTCCTTGGGAAACCTTACCCTACCTATATATAGCCTAGATCTTTCCTCTTCAGAATTCGTTTTGTTCCCAAAACTCCAAGAACACTGAAAAAGAACTCCAGGACACCAAAATTGTCATTTTGATGAGGTATACAGGTGGTATCAAAGAATCCCAAAATACAGGATGTATATTTTTCAAAGCCATGTATTTACCATATA